TTATAAATCAACTGTACTTGTGGCATTTTTAAATTTATAACAACAGAGTGATGTGGAAAATGCACAGATTAATAACTAGGGCTGGAAGATCACACAAATACTTTATAGTTACTGAGGAAGCCAACTCAAATGTTTCCTCTACCACAGAAAAGTCAATGAAAAATAATTTGTCAGGGCAGTGCTCTGTACAGAAGTGGTAACTCCTGAAAGTTTATTTTGATGTGCATCCTTCCATAGAAATAATTTATCTACAGGCTACTTAGTCTTAGAATGCCACAACAGAATAAAAACTGTACTGTATTCTCGGCTTTCACAGTCGGGATCTGATGGTTGTTGTGGGTTTTTCGGGTTCTTTGGCCGTGTTCTGAAGGTTGTTCTTCCTGATGTTTCGCCAGTCTCTGTGGCTGGCATCTTCAGAGGATTGGAGTAGGAATTCTGTCCATGCTCTGTTGCTGCTTGTTGGATAGTTGAGTATTTATAGCTGTGGGAACAGCTTTTGTCTTTTTTCAGGAGATAGGGTGATCAGCATGTTTTTTCTTGTGATAAGAAGGGAGAGATTATATGTTACTGTGATTGATGGGTGTCGTTAGCTGGTCTTTTTTGTGCAATGATCCCTGGTCCTTGTGGCTGGGTAGAGTTCACTGACCTTATACAGGCTGTATTTGTTCAATATTAGGAGCCAGGCCGTGTTTAGTTTTTAGGCCTTCTTCCTTTTTGTTGAAGTTCAGTTGATGCTTATGGATTTCAATGGCTTCCCTGTGCAGTCTAACATAATCATTGCTGGTGTTGTCCAGTACTTCAGTATTTTGAAACAGAATTTCATGTCCAGCTTGTTTTAGGGCATGTTCAGCTACTGCTGATTAAAATAAAAACTTTTTCCAGATGCTGGAAGTAAACTGTTGTAAAATTCAACCAATTTGAGGACTACCAGTGAACTAGAGATAGGGCAATCAAGGGAAACACTGGCAAAATTGCTCTTCGGTAGGAATAATTAAACAAATGCAATTGAGAATCTCGAAAAGGAAATTTCATTTAAATAGACCCATTGTTAAGCCGCTCTAATGATTCCATCTCTTCCATAATTCATTGCTTCTTTCTTTCTTTAAAACCACAGACGGCAAAAACAAAAGCACTTTGATAAACAACTTTCACCCTTTATGAATCCTTTCTACAATATCTCATCAAAATTAATGAAGGCAAGGCCATTATTCAGACTTATTACTATTTAAATGCTAAGAATTATAGAACCTGTTGAATGTTTGCAGCAAGGTTGCTATATTCATTTGTTCACCGTGTATAATAAAAACAAAAACAAGAGAGCAATAGCACCTAAAATACTTCTTTCAGTGAGCTTTCATGGTGCAAAGTCCACTTCCTCAGAAACATAGAAGGTAATAGACTACATCACTGGTTCTTAACCTTGGGTTACTCAGGAGTTTTGGACTGCAACTCCCAGAAGCCTTCACCACCAACTGTGCTGACTGGGGTTTCTGGGAGTTGCAGTTCAAAAACATCCGAGTAACAAAGGTTAAGGACCACTGGACTACATGTTTACATACACAGAGCACACAAGATTGGAGTGGGGACCTGTCAGGACTGATTCTCCCTAAGGAGCATGGATCCTTCGGTCAGGGAATCCCTCAGCCACAAATCTACCACCTTTACGCTGGGGCAAATCCTCCACCTCCAGCAGTGCATAGCCTTTGCGCCTACCCTTGCGCATAGAATAAGCATGACCTTAAAAGAACACTTTCCTTTTACTCAGTACTTTGCAAGTACATACACATAGGTTTTGTAGTTCCTTAGAACTCACAACAGCTCAGTTAATTTGGACTTCTCTGGTAGCTAGTCAATGGCCATTACCACTGCTCTGGATTTAGCCAAACCCTGCTGATCCAAAAGACCATCCTTGAAGAAGACTTGTATGATTAATGTTTTATTAAGAAAATATATAGTTTCACAGAAACAGTTTATTTTTACTCAAGCATAGCATAAAGAACATGTTCAAAAAAGCACAGTTAGATACAACAACTAATTCCCATTAAAAATAACAAACATTAAACTGGGCTAAGGTGGGCTAGCCCCACCTCCCTCTTCCCCTTACTTACATGATATTTTCCTCCAAGCCACATACTCAAACCATCAGTCCATCAACTTGGATCTTGAATAGTCACAAGACTCTCTCCCACATAACCCATCATCCATTTTCTACATTACTTGGACCTTCTTCTTCTTGACCATAGACCAATCAACTCAAAGAGGCATAACTGTCCATTCCACCCATAATTCTCATGAAGATGCAGGTGGTTTATCTCCATTCCAATTAGAAAAGAATTTGTTGGGTCTGTGCTCTCTGCGCCTCCCGGCCTTGTCTGCTTATCAGATTCACACTGTACCAGGCTGGCTGTAAATTAAGAAAAACAACCTCTCTGCTTTTCTCATATTTCCATATCTTCCTTTCACGTTTAAAACCTAACAGACTCCATTTTTTTCTCTTTCTCATTGACTACTATTCCCATTTTCCTTTAATCTCTGACCACAAGTGCCATTCTCCTTCAATCTCAAGACAGGACCAAGTGCCATGGGAAGAAGCTGGCAATAACATTAATATCAGCCTTCTAAAATGACAGTGGAACCAGTAAGGATCACTGAAAACATTGATTACACAGCTATATCCTTATCAGCAATTAGATGGTTGTGGCGAGGCAGGGCTATGCCAAATAAAATAATGTTTTAGTTGTAGCTATAACTATGGCTATGGATAAAGCTGGATGTGCTAAGAATTCTTGGTCCTTATTTATAGTCCTTTGGACATACATTGGAATCTGTGAATGCAGATCACCTCAGCCATCTCCCTCTTCTGTATCCCTTTGTAATTCTTTTTCTCTACAATATCCACCTTCTGGTCAGCAACAGAATGGGATGGGATGCCAAAATGCTGTGAAACTGGCTTTGTTGGGTTGCCATTTCTGATTTCAGATCTAAGTCCACTTATTTTCTCACACAGAGATTATTCTGTTCGGCTGATGTAGAATGTAGATGGGCATCCGTGCCAATGGATGACAATAGGTCACACATTAGCAGATAAACAAATAAATGCACCTCTGTTGTTTTGGGTCTTATTATTTGGCCCTGTAATGGTGCTGTCAGGGTCAATGGGAAAACACAACCAAGCCTTCCATTGGGAAGCTTCCCAGCACTGGCCAGCTATGATGGATACCGTGGTGTGGCTTTAAAATGATGCTGATGCACCCTTTCTAAAATTGTACCACAGCCTGAATCGTGTGAAATGACCAAAGTCACTGTAAAGTGACTTAGGTCCTTTCTATAAGTGTAACTGCAGTCAGGATTTCAGCCAGCAGCTGAAATCCATTTAGTGCAACTCCACTGGCATTAACTGCTGGTGATGTCATTAGCCTGTGATGTACTCTTACATTTAATTCAATTTAAAGCTTCCTATTCCCCCCCGCCGCCTCCTTTAGATTCCAAGGGTCCCCAGGGATCTTTTTCAACTTGGGAAGCCTTCAGAAGCCTTGGGACAGGTTAGCAGGATGTCTTTAATATAAGAAAATTGCTGCTGCAAGTCCCACAGCCAGAAATGGGACTGCTAGTGGCAATTTTCAGATATTAAAGGCCAGCTGCCTCCCTATTATCCTTTAGTTAGTGGGCAAACGCCTTTTCATTCTGGTAGCTTTATGCCAATGGACAGATCGCTGAGCGAAAGGCCTTTCATCCATCACTGCTATAGTGTTTTTTTTAACTGATGCTTTTTAAAAATGTAACAGTGTTTTGATATTATGTGTAGTTTGATTGCATGTTAATAGGATAACTTTTTGTGTGCTTTTTTCCCCTGTACCTATGTATATATATTATTAATATATAATAATATATATTATTGATCACCTCTTTTTAATTTGTGAATTGCACGAAGTCCCAGTTATAGCAAAAGGCAGAATATAAATATGATAAAATCTATGTCCATATCAAGTTTTTATAGCAACAGGAGTTGGGCCAAACACTTCAAATACAAGTAAATAAAATACATTATGGCTATCCCAAATTGTGCCCCAAAGGAGCATGGTACGTAATCTCTAGCTGTGGAACAGTTTTTAAAAACAGTCCCATATAAATCCTGTTCTGCCACCAATGAGAGGGCAAGATGGCCATTTCATCTAGAAGAGCATGTAGTTGGTAAATCAAATGTCATTAACAGAAAGCACACCTGGGCATTGCTGCCACATGACTAAACTTAGATCATAGAAAACGGACTGCAGAATCAATCTAAGTGAATTGCAACCTCATCACACACCGTGACACCAACCTTCCCTAGAAAGCCAAAGCTACCATGCATCATTATGTTCCATGCAAAATAGCAGACATGGACTTCTATAATCTCCAATCAGAAATGCAAGTTCAGACCAAGGCTCACTGAAATCAATGGGAGTTTGGGATATCTCTAACGTTACATTTGTCTGGAGCGAGCCCATTACCTTTGTGTGGCACTGTTAGAATAATCTTCAACACCTTCCCTATAGTGTTACCAAGTCAAATATTACTTATCCTTCCCTGTATGATTCTTTTCCCCCCTACAAAGCACCTTTTTCAGTGAGAGCATCATGAAAAAGTGACTCATACTTCATAAAGATTGGGGGGGGGGAGAGAGAAAATAATTATCAGACCAGGGGAGCTAAGTAGTTTGGATGCAGTTCTAATCATTAAGATGATGAACGTCCCAAAGGCAGACTTCTCTTCACCTCCACAGCAGGAGAAAGTAATTACTAAATGGAAGGACATTTTTAAAAAACATTTTAAAAGGGAAGCAATGAGGAATGGCTGTGGCCTATCGCTTTTATCAGTTTGCAGCTTTTATTGCAGATGCGAGGTGACATCGGGCACCCAAGCACAAGGGCACACCGCATGCACATCCAACTGTTCTTTTTTTTTTTTTTTTTAGTGTAGGAAAAATGTGTGCTAAATATCAGCTATAAAATCAACCTCACCTCCACATTCCAGAAAAACTGTATATGGTGCTCACACAGCGAGGTAAAGCAGGAGGCGTGAGTCCATCCATTCGCATGACAAGTGCAGGAACACCAAAAAGAACAAGGTATTTCACGTAAAAAAACTGGACTTGTGCCAGTGCCAAGCCACCTGAAAGAAGAAAGGACAAAAACATTTATTCCCGTGCACCTTTTAGTATGTGTCTTCCCCTCTCTTCCAAATATGAACCATCTTTCATTTTTTCCTCATCCATATTATATTAATGTGTATAGTGTCGATCTCTTAGGATTGCTTTTTTTTTAACATCAACTGTTGATTAAGTAACTTGGTTACAATTGTGCAGAACATGCCCTCACAAATTGTAGCTGGAATCCTATGGGTTAATACAACTTTAAGTGGCTTTTTGTTGCTGTTTAGTCATGTGCATGCATGAAGGGCAGTGTGGCACTCATGCGGGGGAGCGTTCTCATGTGCATGTGCAAAGGGGAGGGTGGGGCTCATAGGTGCTTCTGTGCATGCACAAAGGGGTGGGAGTGCTCACACGGGCACAGGTGTGTGCGTGCATGCGCAAAGGGGCTGTGCGGGGGGACTGCATGCAGGGGTGGGAGGTCTGTCTCCGTGGCCCAGTCTGGTTCAGGCCACAGACTGCCACTGGCCCACAAACCAGGGGTTGGGAACCTCTGGTATGGTAGATCAGCGTCATGGACTAGGACTTAGGAGGCCTAGGTTTGAATCTCTGCTCAGCCATAGAAGCTCACTGGGGGAGTGGAACTGGTAAAGTCACTTCTTAAACAGCTGACCTTGAAAACCCTATTAGGGCCATTAAATGTTGGTTCTGACTTGATGGCACATTAACAACAAAAATAACAAAGGCAACGTTTAGATGCAAGCTTTGAACATACACATCCTGCTTCTCAATGCACACTATCTCTTGATGTTTAAACACAGGAAACTGAATACAATACACTTTGCAAAGGCAGCTCACACAAGGCTCCTCATAGTAACCCAAGCAGGACATTACTAAAATATGCATTACATTGGTTAGATCAGAAATCTCCAGAAATAAGCAAGCTACCAGTGTGTGTTTAAACAGAGGTTAAATGACTACTGCTCAAATTTGGGATGGGGAGTTCTTGACTTTTGCTTCATTTTGTTTCATTTAAGGAAATAAATAAATTATTTGGAAAACATAAATATAACAACAAATCAAGGGGCTTGGAACCTAGTGACAATAACTGATTGATTGCTTGGGAAATGTCTTAGGATCCACAAGCAGAGGCTTCCATTGTGAAAGTCCAACCTTTCAGGACCCCTCCTGGTGACAGAACACAGATCAGGGAGGACCTTTCATAAACACACTGCCATCAGCTAAACACAAAACAAGGCCCCAACTGAAAAGTTATGCTATTTACAATTAAAAGTGTCCTTGAAATCTCTAATGTAAGAACTGCAGTGGGCATCAATATTCAACACTCTCTTTGCTCAGTGATTCTAGATTATGCAGCATAGCGAATGTAAGAAAACCTAAGAACTGTCACATTTCCAGAATCTCAGCTGGGACCTCCTGGTCGGGATTGGTATAATAAGCAAATATTGATTTTCAGCTCAGCACAAATCAAGAGGTATTGATCTTTCAGATAAATATTTACCCTCAAAGGACAATAAATCTTCATGTGTCCTAAATATAAAAGTCAATACTTTGTATGTTCAGTGTTATTACATGCATTGGTTTACTAGTCTTCCCAAAATTCTCTTGGCTTGTTATACTGTGCATTACAGGAGAGGTGCATAAGCCCAGAAAAAAAAAGAACATATACACACAGTGTAAGGACATGGCATTGGCTTTCATTTCATGGAAGTGTTGCCATTGCCCTGGTTCTGCTATCTGTTTTCAGTGCATTCTTATGCCTGAAACAGACTGGGTTTTGGTTCCTCACACACAGTTCCAACACATGTATTCTACACTTCAAAGGGTCAGAGTCTAGCACAGTTCCTTTTTTTATTACATTACAACACCTAGAATCCCCCAGCTGACAAGGGAATTATAAGAACTGTAATTCAACAAGCTGTTCCAAACTCTGGCAGGTCAGAGGAATGAACCATGGACATTCGCATCCTGCCTCAGCACTCAGAATATTCTGCGTACAGATTAGAGATGGACACGAACTGGAGGATGGATCATCATCAGCCAACCCACCTGCCGATGGATGTGTAAGCAAGGTAACTGGAAAATGCAGTCAACTACATGGGCATTAGCTACTACGTGGCCCCATCCAGCACCCCTAGATCAGAGAGCTCATGATCTCCCAAGCTGAGCCCTGTAATGTCTCTCCACCCTGACCCCCTTAAAGGAATCCACCAGGGGCAGCACCTGCCTGATCCTACCATCTGACCTGATCCATCCTCATGCTTCCAACCCCCCACCCCCACCCGAACAAAGCTGTGACAGAATAAAACAACCCTGTTATTATCTTCCTAATGAACCAAGGGAAAGTGGGTGGGAGAAGGTGCAAAGCCAAAAAGGGACCACAGGAAGGCCTATTTTCTCTCTTATCTGTCCCAGAGGCCACCTGGATTTGGACCCACCAATCTGGAATCACCCTATGGAAGGAGACCCATGCCCCCAGCCCTCCTTGTTGGCTGGGGGATTATATCCCATAACACCATGAGCTGCCACACTGCATCCTGGGAAGAAAACAGCTGGCAGCCTAAAAGTGGCAGCCACTGCCTTGCCCCTGCCCACCACCATTGCTGGATGACAAACACAACACCCCGGTGAGTTGGGGACTATTGTTTATATGCATGTAAGTCACAAAAAGGAAACACAGAAATTTGAGCATTCAGCCTTGCCCCACTTTACTCTCACAAAGCAATGATGTTGCAGCAATGCAACATCAGTGATAACTGGGGACAGGAAGTGCACAACTCCTTTTTACGCAGGGGTCAAGTAAAAAACTACAAACCAGCAAATTTTCCTGAAAGGTCGGAGGTGTATTCTGAAAGATGCCCAGGAGGTCATCTTTAGGACAGTGATAGTCAATGCAACTGTTCCCTGCCAGTATGGATGAATTAGCCTGCTCATTGCAGTCATATAATCTATTCAAATTAATATTACAAGGCAGGATTTAAAAAAAAAAAGATGAAAAGATACTAAAAGGTAAAATTTGACCAGCGGATCTACCACAAGTAAGGTATAATTAAGCCTAACAACAGAGGGGGAAATTAGGCATCTGCTCAGGTACCTAAGATACCCTGTCTGACAAGACAGCACATTTCCAGTCTCTCGTGTGGATGTCCTGGCAAGCTTGCTAAAAGAGGATAAATAATATAACATATCAGGTCAGAATACAGATTGCTCTACAGATGGATATGAGTCAGGATTTCAGCGACTGCTGTCTTACATGGGCACAGAATGTGCTGAAGCTGAACTCAAAGATATAAGTCTTGTGGTACTGTGGTAGGTAGAACATTGGGTTTTGTTAGCAGGCGTGCTCTGTGAATACCATAATCAGGTAGAACTCCATGAACAACAGGAGAACAGGTCTTACTGATTAGTATACAGAGATTCTCTACTTCAGTATCATATAATCTTTGGGTAGATTTTAAATATTTGCAGTTGCTCAAGCAGTAGACGAGATTCAACACCAATCAAATTAATAGTATGAGACTGTTCACTGAAATATGAATTTGACAAGGCTAGTTGCAGACTTAAAAAAATAATAACCAACATCCGGTGTCTTGGCCCATGCTCTGGATTCCACAAACCCTACAACACTTTCTAGATACATGGCTGCACATCTCACATGATTAAGGTAACTTAAATTACAATGCAAGACATTTGCTTGATTTTTTTTCCAGAGCAGAACTTCTTGTTATGCCAGGTAACAACAGAAGCCTAACAAGGACACTAAGACATTGGATTAGTGCAGTGGTCAGGGAAAAGGGGTAAATTACTCCAAATGGGGTAAAATGAAAATCCTGGGGATAACGAGGATGCGACCCTAACCCCTTCCCTCCGCCTCCTCTTCCTCCTCTTATGCCTGGAGGGGGTTCCCCGGCTGCTCGATTGCCCCCTTCCCACCCCCTTCTCCAGTCCGGCTACAACCGAGCCACGGCAGATGGCGGCCGGCAACAGGCCCCAGCCAGTGGCGTAGGGCAACCAAGGTGGCGGCAACGGGGCTGGCCATGGCAGATGGCGAGGCTGGGGCAAACAGCCAGAGCGCCCCGGCCAAGAGGAGCCTCTCCTTCCATTCCCCGGCTGCTCGATTGCCCCCTTCCCACCCCCTTCTCCAGTCCGGCTACAACCGAGCCACGGCAGATGGCGGCCGGCAACAGGCCCCAGCCAGTGGCGTAGGGCAACCAAGGTGGCGGCAACGGGGCTGGCCATGGCAGATGGCGAGGCTGGGGCAAACAGCCAGAGCGCCCCGGCCAAGAGGAGCCTCTCCTTCCAGTGCCTGGAGAGGTGAACTGAGGCGGAGGGGGGTGGGGCGGCCACAACGGCGGCCCGGGCCAGGCTCAGCCTCTTGGCGCGGGGCTGTGGCCTCACATCCCTGTTCCCTGAGGAGGCAGCAGCACTCGCCCAGCCGTGTGGCTTCCTTCAGCGCCACCTCCACGCCGGCTGGGGGCCTGGCAGAGCCTCTTGCCCTCCGTGCGGCAGCTATCATGGCGCTTCAATGGCGAGGCCTGCGGGAGCCCTGAGGCGTGACGTGGCCACCCCAGCAAGCAGCTGCTGGAGCCAGTGCCAGAGCGGGAGGCGGCACTGGGCACCCCCAGCGGGCGAGCCACCTGCTGCTCTTTGACAGACACCCAGGAGCCGCCTGCCAATGGAGAAGGGGAGCCACCCCCGAGGGGCCAAGGACTGAGCACGGCCCCACCAGGCAGAGGAAAAGGTGGCCACCACCACCCAGGTGTGGGTGGTAAGGCTTTGGCAGCGGCGCTCAACTGGCCGCGTGTAACTGAGATCCTTCCTTTCAAATCAAGGGGGTAATGTCAGTGTATATAATTTTTTTTTGGGGGGGGAGGTAAAAAAAAGTTCCCTGACCCCTGGATTACTGAGTGTACAATGCAAGGTTTTCTCTGCAGGGCTTCCTCTGAGAGGAAGTTAATTTGGCTCCTTCCTTGTTGAAATTCCACTACGGGGACAAAACTAT